AATTGAAAAGTTGAATGTCTGTAATATCATTTAACAAATATTTTGTCAGTTTGTCATAACTTTTAATTCTTTCTGTGTTTCGTTCCAGGTATACTTTGTTTATAGTATTGTATCCAATGGGAGTCTCAGGTGAATTACTCACAATATATGCTGCATTACCCTTCGTCAGGCAGTCTGGCTTGTATTCCATTAGTTTACCTAACAAGTACAATTTTTCATTTGACTACTATACATTCCTGATCCTGGTCATGATCTCTTACATTCCAAGTAAGTATGAGTTTATTAGGTTTCTTAGTATTAACAGCTGTACCTGGAAAAGCAAACAGTTGTGGGATTAACATACATAGAAGTAACCAATCTAGCCTGCTGATGACCTTGTTTAATTTTTGCATGGTTGATAAAGGTTTCTCGTGGAAATTTCAGCTTCTGCTGTTTGTATATGTATGTTTTCCACCCCCTCCTTTGTTGTTTTGCAAACATACTGCGTACCATAGTTTTAGAAATAAAAAGAGAAAAAGCTTTGGATAGAGAGAGATGAAAGAGGCACTGATGTGAATAAAATGCCTTAGAGTCTGAAAAAGTGACACTAGGATTACATAAAAATCAAACAAATCTGGAAATTTCTCTTGAAGGGCTTTTTCTGCCCTGCAGTCTGTTTTCTCTGTATTGTGTACATGCAGATATGGCAACTTTTGTCATCTGCTTTCACATTTAAGAGTTAAATAAGGCATTTTGCATTTAATTAAAAATGTGATTGCTCTAGCAGAAAAATTAATAGTACCTGAAGCCTAAGAACAATATCAGTTCATCTCTTTAGTGTGTAAAAGGGGATAGATAACTTAAGCAAAAAGTGGATAAGCACATCCTCTAATGGAGACTGGGGGACTTTGACCATGGGACTGCATCTTGCAGGCCCCTCTGCACACTTGATTCACTTGAGTCTGTTTTCTCCTCAGTCTTCCCTCAGCTCTATTTCCACATGCTGCATCAGAGGCGAAAGGTTCTCTCCCACACTGAAGAGCATAAGAAGTCGGAGTAATTCCAACTCTTTTTCAGAACTTTTCAAACATCAAAAATGCTGCAGTTTTTCCATACCCAGCACATTTGTAAAGAGGATACCAAGATAAGTCAGAGGTAAAAGACCAATAATTTGGCAAGAATAACTAATAAATCTGATTTCAGTGAAATTCCAGGATGTCAAACATTGAAATAATTTTCAGCTTGCAATGCTTCAGAAAAATTAAACTTTATATGGCTTGGCAGTTAACCTTTTCCTTAAATGATCTGCTAAATGGTTTTCATTTATTACTAAATGTCAGAAGGTTGCAGTATGAGTGATGAAGTTGTACCCACAAAATGCCTGAATTGGGATTATATTACAGATACCTCTTTTTTTTAAGTGCTTGACTGCATGCCAGAAACTGTATGTATTGCTGTGAAAGCAAACAATATGCTCTGGAATACTTCAGGATAATGTCAGAGACATCAGTGGAGCATGTAATCTGGGCAAAGTATTTGAATTTAGAAAGGTAGGTTGTGTATTTAAAAGGTGACGGGAACAAGAAACTAATTACGGAAAATGAGGGGAATGTGGTTTTTTAGGAATTTAAACAGTGCAGTGTCTGACCAGACTGTGCTCTCTGAAGAGCTTGTTTAAGATCTTCTGATCACTCAAATGCTAATATTAATTCAAAGACTGTAATTCTTATCTGAAACATTAAAACTACCCCAAATACTGCATCCCTGAATACTTTTTTACATATTAAAAAAAAATTAATACTGACTGTAATACTGTAGTTGTATCAGTATTGAATCTAAACAATATAAGGAGATAGTTCACCCAGAAATAGGAGCAGTTCTCCCTTTTTCACTATAAATTATCATCTCTAGTCATTGTCTGTGATACTCATCTTTCAGTGCTGAGGAATACTTGGTCTGCTGTGTTTGGGGGCCTTGTTCCTTAGCCTGACTTTTCTCAAGTGACTGAGGTCATCACTCTGGCACATCCAAGCAGGCAGTTCCAGGCACTCAGCTTCTGAAATGTTGCAAAGTCATAATCTGCTCCTTGCAGAACAGATTATCTCCTGTGTTGCATGCTGCCTTTGCAGACTGGACAAGTCATCCTCATCTGTTCTTTGGAAAGAGTGGAAGACCACAAGAGGTTATATTCTCCTAGGTGCTGTCTCTGGGTTCTCAGGCTTAACCTTTTCTTGGGAAGGTAAAAGGAAAATGGAAGAGCTGAGAAAGCGCCAGTGCTGTGTGAGCTGTGCCCCAAGTCTAGAAGAAACTTCTGAGTGGAGTAACAGGGTGGGGAATGAAAGGAACAAAAGGGGAAGGGAAATGAATGGATATCCAAGCAGAGACAGAAGGAAATGTAGGTTATAGCTTTGCTCTGTTAGGAATTGATGGCCAGATAGCCCTGTCTGCATCCAGTCAGAGTCCATAGACAAGACCATGTGGGCTTCTCTGGCTTCCCTCTTGTTCCATGGTTTAGTGCACAGATGAGGTGTGACCACTCCCATGCTGTCTGCTGCTGTGCCTGCCAGCACCTGCCCTGGACATGGCCCAGTTGTGTTTGACACATCCCAGCTCTTCCTAAACACAGCTGGGAGGTACTGAGGACACAGCTCTCTGTTCTAGCAGTTGGGAAGAGCTGGATTTACAGTTATTCAGATTTATGCTTGTCAGAGTGATACTAAAAAAAAAAAAAAAACTTGGAATTTTTCAGTAATTTTCTTTGGCTCCATCAAAAGGACTGAATTTTCCTAACTTTCACTATATAGAGCCTTTCCTGTTCAACACAAACAGGATTATTACAAGCAGAGAAAGGATAAGAGACAATAATATTCTTTGCTTCTATTTTCAACATTTTGGAGACAATTATTGACTAACTTAAAAATCACAGGAGGTTGTAGCAAGTTGGGTATTGGTCTTTTCTCCTAAGTTACAAGCAATAGGACTAGAGGATACTGCCTCTTGTTGTGGCAAGGAAGGTCTAAATTGGATATTAGGAAAAATTTCTTCATGGAAAGGATTGTCAAGCATTGGAACAAGCTGCCCAGGGAAGGGATAAAGTCACCATCCTTGAAGGTATTTAAAAGACCTGAAGATGTGGTGCTTAAGGACATTGTTTACTGGGATTTTGCAGTGTTAGGATAATGGTTGGACTCAATCTTGGTCTTTTCCAACCCAAACAATTCTGTGATTCTATTACTGTGGCCATATACAACCTCAAAATGATTTTGGATTCAAAGATGCAACAATTCAGTTCCTTTCTGTATTAGGTTTTGTGCTTTGTTTTAGTGATCTGAGAAATGTTACATTATTCTGAACTCATTGTTTGAAAGTGTGAACTTCCGCCTCTGAACAAAACATCTCCTTTTGCTTATACTTGCTGTTAAAGAAGTTAATGTCAACATTTCTGAAGGATGTAATCTAAAAGATCTGATTTCCTGATGTACTTAGGTTACTGGATATTGTCAATGCTCAGCTGCTGAACTTTTCTTAATTTGATTTCTGTGCCCAAGTAAAAGATTTGGTTTCAAATTTGTTGGTCCAATCTGGAGATAAAAAATGGCTGTGTAATACTCCTGGCTCTGTTGATGAGAAAGATGCAGTACAGATCTACAACAGATAGCACTGGCACCATGGAAAAGCACACCAAGCTGCCAGTAGGGAGAAAGCTTCTACAACCAACACCTTTGCTGAACAGGCTTTGTGATGGAATATTTACTTTAATTGAAAGTATCAATTTATGACAAAAATGCAAATAAACTATGGCCTTTTAAAAGAAAATTGAGTTACTTTTCCTTTCAGAAGAAAAAGAAGCTGCTTTCACAGTAAGAATTCTTACCATCAAAGCTGATTTATAAATTATTTTCTGAAGTCTGAACATGCAGTTACTATGTACAAAAATTGAGTGCTTCATGTTGCAGTGCTTTTTCAAGTTTATCTTCTATGGAAATCACTGGAAGGTGATCTTGAGAGAGAACCATAGTGTGATGCCCTAAAACTGTTTGGGTTGTTCCCTAATACTGATTCTGCCGACACATGTGAGGTTTCTTCTAATTAAAGAGGTTTCCCCTCATCTGTCACTGAAATTGTCAAGTGGTTTCTGTGAACTCTGTAATAAGAGCTTTGATTTGTACTGTGTCACAAATGCAGAGGGGTTTATTTTCCCCACAGACTGTTTACTTGGCTTGCATGTTCTCCATCAGCCTTTCCAAACCAGCAGGCCCCCCTGCTTTGGTGCTCTCTGTTGTGTGCACTGGTTCAGTTGACAGCACTTTTTGTTCTACCATGCCAGCTCTGAGTTAGTCACTACCCTCCAAAAGACCAAGGTTTTCACCAGTGGGTAGTTTACAACTGGAATTGTAGAAATGTTCATATTTGTAAATTACAGTAAGAATGCAGGTTACGGTGCAGGTAAATTGCATTTTTTTTTCACAATGTGATGTTTTTATCAGAGGGTTTTTTCCTTATCATTATGAAGGTTGGCATTTGTGTAGACCAATCTGCAGTGTCATTTTAAAACTTACCTTTCAGCTTAAAATTTTCATGAGTATACATCAAATCATATATTTTGATGTATATATCAGTGAGACTTGGGTGAAAAGTATATATAGTCATTTTTGTATTTTTTTCTATGTTGTGAAGAATAAAATTGTAATTTTATAAGTCTGATTCACTAAGATTATTATAAGTTAAATGTATTTTTTGTATATTTAGGAATCTGGTATTACCTGGAGTTCTGAAAGACTTAACCATAGATTTTTTTATGCATGGTTGAAAGATATTTCAACTTGATAATGCAGTGAAATGGTTTGTATGCTAAAATACTAGTCAGTGTTGTTGCCTTGTGCAGTTGATTCTGTGCTCTCTGCCTGGATTTGGCCTACTGAACAGTGATAACTAATTGCTATAATCCAAATAAAATAATTCTGAACAAAATATGTTGTATCGTTACTGTTTAAGGAACAAAAGCAGACACTTTATAAATGTAAGTTAGAGCTGTATTTTTATTCATTTGTATACAATGTGTATCTTTTAATTTAGAAGTTATTTTAGCATATGTAACTCTGGAGCTCAGATAAAAGAAATAAGAAACTTCATACTTTTACTAATGCTCTGCTTTCCACATTCAAAAGAAGTGCTCATAACAACACCTTAACTGGCTGTGTCAACACTCACAACTTCCTTAAGGATCCTCAAGTGAGTGTGAGTTCCTTGTTCTCCTGCTGTTATCTGTATTCTGGATGCTGATGGTTTCCTTAAAAACAAAATTGAGTATTATAAATATGGGGAAATGCTTAACTAATGCAACAGAACATTTCAGAGTTCATTTACTAAATATAATATGTCTGCTACCACGGCAACGTTTTTAGCATTTTTAACACTTCCTGAGAGAGATTTAAAAACTGTGTCTAGATGACATTAATGCTCATAAATAACAAGTTATAATCCTCTAATAGGAACTGAGTGGTAGCTGCAGAGTGAGTGCTATTATTCTAGGCATATGCTTGTCATAAGATTGCACAAGTACAGTGGGTTTTTTGTTGACTGAGATGGGATGGAATGGTGTTGTCGTGCCCAGCATCAGCACATGTCCCACGCATGATGGCTGTGACTTAGCACTGCTGTGTAATTAAAAACTCAGAAATGCTGTGCTGTGGAAAGGAGCTGAGCTCTGTTTGTGCCTTACAGGAATGATCACTGGCTATTTGTATTTCCTCTCTGCATTTTGAAACCAGTGTATGTGGAAACAATTTTAGTTCCCTAGGGTAACGGTAAAAAGTCTGAAAAGCATAAGGATTCTGTGGTTGTCAGCAAGTTAATGTCACAATAATGTGTAAGACTCATCTTAAAGCATTGGCAGTTCTTGATATAAGACTAGAGATATGTGCTGGGCTGCTGAATATAAAATAAAAAGGTGTGAATATCTGTGTGATTCAGTTTCATGTGATGTGAACTGAGCATTTCTACAGTTGGGGGTGATTGATTCAAGCCACCCAACTGCCTGGAACTTCCATTCAGTATCAAGTAGCTTTTAAATTCTGCTTCCTGTCTCCGAAACAAATGCTCTTCCATACTTGTCAGAAGACTTACAGTAGTAAGATAATTAATAAAGCTTCTTAGGTGGTTTCTGAGTGCTGCCTTTGAAGTAGTTGCAATTTCAAATGTGAATTAAAAATTTGTAACTCTTTTAATTATCTTGATCACTATTTTCCAGAATAATATTTTCCTTTACAGATGTGCAAGATCCTAAAGCCCTTTTTATGGCCTTACAAGTTAGCTTGGGCATTAGTGTTGTCAGAGGTTTGGTTTTTCTCTTTGATGTGGCACAACTGCCTCTCTTTAGATTCAATTTATTCTGTGCAATTTGTACATAGAAATTTTACGTTACCTGGTACTACATGATGATGTTATTGGAAAATTCTTTGGTGGAAGTTTTTGCAGAGGCTTATTCAGCTGAATTGTGAACAGTGAACTGCATTTTATCCTGTGTTTTTGACTCCTGCTGCAGACAGTCTGCACAGTCTTCTGTGAACTGGAACCACTTGCAGCAACTGTACATGAAAAACCTCAGTACTGACATTTTCTAGTTTGAACACCAGAACTTGCAGAATCATAGCTCCTGTGTAATTATATTCAGCCTCTTGGGCAGGAACAGTGGATGAGTCTCACTCTACAGAGGTAATCTGAAGAATACATATAAAAGGATACAGGCATTTCAGGTATCTTCTTTAACATCAGTTTTAAGTTGATGGCAATGTAAAGATCAGTGCTTTGCTCTTTTCTGCACATAGCATGCCCACAAAAACCAAGAGTTGTGGAGAGTAAATAGGAAGTAGAGGACCCTCCTATCAGCCTGGCAATAGATAGCTTTTAAGAAATCAGTTTGCCATTTAAAGCTTTCTTTGGGTAAAATACATCCTCTTCACTTACTGGATAAGAAAAGATAATGAGTACTGGTTTCTACTTAATGACCATCAATAAAATGATGAGATGGAAGAGGAGAGGTACTGGAGGTTACTGAGTTCTACCACTGTTTCCCAAAGAATATTTGGGCTTTTATGAAACATGAAACTTCCTGTTCCCTTTGGAATCCAATAGTTGTTCTTTGGGGTGAGGGTGGTGGTGTTTGGTTTTGGGAGGAATTTTTTGTTTGTTTATTAAGACAGAACAGCAGCACTTAATGGAGATGCTGCAATGTTTAGTCTAGTGTGCTGATGACATGAAATTTGTTTTATTTTCCTCCATGTGTTTATTACAAGACTATAAGGAACTGGATGCACTGAATTAGGTGTTTTGTTTTAGTCCTCCATTCCTGTGTATAAACCTCTGCTGGGAAAGTTGCTGGTTTGAGAGTATCAAATGAGTTTCCTTACCCGGCTTTTTGGTGCAATTTAAATTAAGTAAACCAAGCACTTTGTCAGCAAACCGGAACAGTGGAAAAAGCTGTCTTATATCAGCAAGAAAATGGATGTGAAATTGAAATCAGCCATTGCTGGTTTAGGTAGTAAGACTGGATACTGTTACTTAATAACTAGTTACTAAGTTAGACAGTTGATACTGTTACAGCCCTTTAGCAGAAGCAAACTGCAATCTGAAAATTCTGTTATTCTTCAAAAGGTATTGTCAAATCAGACTCTGAAAACCTGCTCTAGGCTTACAGTTGTGTTCAGACAAGGGACAGGTGTCAGCATTCATGGGCTGCTGTGCTCCAGGTTCCTGCTGATGCATAACTGCAGATGAGGCCTCAGCATACCAGACTTTGAAGAAATAAACTGCTGACAGAAAGGTATGAAACTCCTACAGAAAGATGTAACACTCCTACTTTTGTGATCTGAGTGTTGTGCAGCCTCCAGCAGTCCACTCAGTACAGATATTTGAGTCCTGTTTACTGCTTTGCTGCTAGCCAAAGGTGAGCAGGTAAATCTCTGCTAGTTAACAAATGAGTTGCTCTGTTCACGTTCTGTTTCTAAAACTGGAATACTTGGCTTTTTTTTTTTTTTCCTTAATGTCAGGATTATGTTGAATCCCTGGAATGACCACATGAATTGCATACATTATAGTGAATTTCATGATGCAATCCTCCTGTATTGCACATGTGCACTTGGAGTCCAAGCTTTGCTTGGACTAACAGCATGTGCATGCAGGATATTTTACTTCTACATTTGGGGTAAAATATGGGTGCTTCTGTGAAAATCTGATAAAAGTGATTCAATAAGTACCTTGTCTTGCTAGGCTTCTTGTATATCCCTAAAAAACCCCAAAAGTCAATAATGAGTCAGATTGTTTTGGGTTGGGCTTTTTGTTTATTTTTTAAGTCGCTGTGGTTTTGTGTTTTCACTGTTTTCTCACTTTTGGTTCTATTCCTTTTGAATCATCAGATTATTAGGAGAGGGGTGGTGTGGAGCAAGAGAATTTGTAACAGCAGCTTGTTCAGTTTGAGTATTTCATGGCTCCAAGCTAGACTGTGTGATTATCTCTTGGTTTCAGAGGGCTGCTTTGGATATTCTAATGTTCTGGATTTTATGCTTCCATGAATCTTGGAGTGCATGAAGACTATGAAGAGTGAACTGTGACACAGATGTTCTGAGGTCACTATCTAGTTGGTACTCCCCATTTAAAGTAAATAATGGAAATAAAGAATGCTAATGTTTGTCTACTGCACCTGTTGTAATAATAATAAAGTAAAAAATGTTTTTATACAAATTATGAAACTACATGTGAAACCAGCATTTTTGTGAACTTGTATATTGGCTAAGTTTAGGTCTGCCACAGTGGCTCTCTGTTGACTCCTGAAGGTTCTTGAGGAGGTGAAATCATTTGAGTGATTTTGTGCAAGCAGTCTCTAAATCTTCCACGTGTTTATTTCCATTTAGTTATTATTTTAACCAGATAAATACTTTTTCAAAAAGAGACATGGTTCAATTTTAATCCAAAATTTTATTAAGATATGATTGAAGGTATTGAATTGATTTTTGCCCAAATACCCCACCCACAAAGAATTAAAACAAAAAAAAAGTTTTTATGATGGGGCAGGTGAAGGCTAGGCTAAACTGGAAGGTGCTGCATTAGCCTTTCAGGATAAGGAATAGGAAGTTTTCTCTGTCTTTCTACACAGTATTGGGATATTTGTATTTGTTGGCCTCTGAACAAAGTAAATAAATATTCTCATTTTATATGGACTTCTATAGATTAAGGTCATCAGATTAAGGTCATCATTTGTACATAGCCATGTTGGGATTGAGATATAGAAGCTCCTCAATTTTACACTCATCCTTCAGAAAATGGCTGGCCTAAGTTGTGAAAGAAAAAGGCAGCTCCTACCTATGTGTAATTCATTAACAAAGTATGATTGCCTGAATGTTTTTGTAGTAAGTGCTAGGCATTTTTAAATGACTTCACAGCCACCCAGGATATGCAGTGTTTTGCTTTCCTGCATAACTTTTTGGGTGAGATAAACACTGCATCTTTCTGCCATTTGTCATGAGGTTCCTGAATTAGAAGCAAGAGCCAGGGCTTGAAGAAACTGCATGTTAGAAGGGAAGCTGTAGGTAAGCTGTCTGTATTATGGTCTCTATCCTTAATATTAAACTATCCTGCTTGTTGCCTTCGTTCTACTACTGTTCTATGTCATCCAGTAACAACATCAGCTAGAAGTGGGCATTAAAGATTTTTACTGTCCATGTGGAATCTTACATCATCTTTGCCATAGCCCTATATGTCCTCATAGTGTGAGGTACCCGTTGTGTGAGGTACCCGTTTAGTTGGTGCTACTCTTAGCTTCTGAGACACTTTTTAGCTTCTTAACATCCTTGTTGTTTCCACAAGTTACACATTTTCTGCACAGTCTCTTCCAAATGCTTCTTTAAACACAACACTTCATATTTATCTACCTGTTTCTAAAGTTACAAACTTCTGGTTGAAGACTTGTTTTCCCCTGTAGCAAGGACAAAACTTTTTTCCCCTCTGGCTGATTTTTTTTTAAACTAAAACTGATTAAGCATCAATTCTTATGACATTACAGAAAAGCAAAACTGTATGTGATACAAAATGGCATAGTGAAAAGAAACATGAATGAGGCTCTGGAATTGAAATTACCATTTCCCTGGTACCTCTGTATATAAACGTTCTAGAGAAGGGGGTGTAGTTTACTGTGACTGGAGTCCTGCCTGGGATTCAGGCTTCCAGAGGCTTTCATGATGCAAAAGATAAGTAAGACTTCATTTTGTCCTAGTGGTGAAACATAAAAACCTTAAAATTACTTGGTCTGTTATCTGAGCAATGCTTTGTTGATATCTAGAACGAAATGTAACAAGATGTGAATGTTGAATGTGCTTAGTTCTTATACATGCCTTCATAGTAATTTTTTTATGAAGCAGAATTAATTTTAGGGTCATGAATTTTGTGGGTCACCTTTTTCCTTTTACTTGCTTTTAGTGTGAAAAAGTGAGATCTTTTACTGCTGGCTTTGAGAGAAGAACTCCAAAATGGGACTTTGTGTACAAAACAAAAAGACCTGTCCCAGTTTACAGCTCACTGAAGAATTGTTTCACTGTCTTTATCCCTTGGGTTCAGGCACTGTTCAGCCAGAGTAACCAACCACACAATTCTTGAGTGTTGTTCTAATCAAGTAGAACAAAAGTAGTGTATGGATAGTGACAGTGTTGTATAATATCACAAGAAATGATAAATTCTGTCTGAAGGGCAGTGGTATTTATATATAAAAGTCTCCTTGTGGGAAGAAAACTGGTAAGTCCAGTTGTGATCAGGTGCAGGATGTAGCATCTGTCAGGAAAGTGCCATGTAAGTGAGCTCCACTGTACTAGTTGTGTGTATTGTTTCAGGGAAAATCTTTAACTGTGAATTCTGCAGAAGAAGCTGCTGAAAATTCAGCATATGGTTTTTACAAACCACTGAAATACACAAAGGCCTAAATTGATGTAGTTTGTGGAGTTCCTTGCACGTGTAAAGGACACGTGAAGGGTTTCTGTTTGGAAGGTTATCCGGTTTGGATTTTTTTCCCCAACTGTGTGCAGCAATATTACCTCTCTACATATGCTGCTTATCTCTGTCCCTTGATAACCACAGCTTCAGAACTACTACTGCTAAGGACTACTTGTTAGCAGGGATTTTCAATGTTTGATCAAACATCTAGACAATTGCCTGTTTCAGCAACTTAAGCCAAGCAGTTATCTGATTTGACAGTTTGTTTTTAATAAAACATGATGCAGAACATCAAGCAATAATATTATTCTTAGTACATATGATGCTTACCTTCAAAACACTGTAAATCATTAATTAGCTCACTAGCATCTGCAGAAAGAGTGGTTCACCTGAAAGAACTTTGTGGAAGAGTCTGGAGATTGAAACTTGCTGGGAACTGCTGTGGTGTCATCATGCCTCACTCCCAGGTTAGGGAATAAGCCATAAGGTGTCACAGCGCTGTCGGGTGAAGGTGAGGGCTGTAGCTTAAGCGGTTGAAAAAACAAGGTAAACTTACCTGTGTGTGTATTTTACCCTTAATTCCTGCGCTGAGTCCAGTAACAGGTGCTGCTGTTGTGAGAGGGTTTTCTGGGGCTTGACGTTCCTCTCTCGGCCAGTCCGGGCACTGGTGCTCGGCGCTGCCTCAGCGGGGCCGGGCCGGAGGCAGCGCGGGGACTCGGGGCCGCGGCGCCGAAGGGGTTAGTGGCCCCGCCCCGGGGCGCTCATTGGCGGGGCGGCGGCGGCGGCGGCCCCGGGCGGCCAATGGCGGCGCGCGGCGGCCCCGGGCGGCCAATGGCGGCGCGGGCGGCGGGGCCGCGCGGGCGGGGGCGGGCGGGGGCGGGCGGGGGCGGCGCGGCCGGCGCGCGGCTGAATGGGGAGCACAAAGCGCGGCCGGGACGCGCCGCCGCCGTCCCCGGGAGAGCCGCGCGCGGGGCCGCCGCTCCCGCCGCAGCCCCGCTCCGGCACCGCCGCCCCGCCGGCAGCGCGGGGGAGGCAGCGCCGAGCGCCCGCCCCTGCTCCTTATCGGGTTTTTTTTGAATTTTTTTCTTTCACCTTCCGATTTTTCAGATTTGCCGGTTTCTCCGCTCTCCCCCGGTGCCCGTGGGAGAGGCGCTGCGGCCGCCCGAAGGCAGCGCGGCGTAGCGGGAGCGGCGGCCGGGTGCATGAGCGGCGCGGCTGCCGCCGGCCGTGCCTTATCGCCGGGGCTCCGCCGCTGGGAGGCGAGGCGAGCCGGGAGCGCCGCCGCAGCCCGGTCCGCCCCGGGCAGCCCCTCCGCCGCGCCCCTCGGGCAGGGGATGATCCCGCCGCCGCCGGCTGCCGCATCCCTGCGAGCCTGAGCCTCCGCCCGCTCCGCGCCGACCGGCCCGCGGCGAAGCGCCCGCCCTGCGCCCGGCCCCGAGCGGCGGGGGCCGGGCCGGAGC